TGTTTGAAAGAGCAGCATGTAGGTATGACATGCAAAAAGAACATTTTATTTTTAAAGAGATGAATGTGGAATGCATTGGGGATTTTTATTTTTCAAAATGTGCCTAAAGTTGCATAAGGGTAAAGGGAGATCCAAAATAAAACAGCGCTCTGGAAGGTGGAGCATAAAGTGTGTTTTAAGGAATAGTCGAGGAGATTCACACACCTACATGAAAGGGAAGGCTAAATGAGAATACACAGTAATACAATAAATGTACAGGGACCTCAAAACAAAGGGATAATAAAGGAGACTTTCCAACTCATACCAATAGCTGGCATAGAACAGTTACAATACAGATTGCGAGCTAGTGGAACTCTGTATTGAGGTACAAGAGTGCTGTATATATTGATCTTTCTTTTACTGTGAGGGTTTCTTTTTCTAACACTAATAAAATGGATATTTCTTTGTGTTAAAAAAAGAAACCCTCACAGTAAAAGGAGGGAAGTTTAGGTGCAAGGATTCGGAAACAAGAGTTTGAATCTTGCATGGCAAAGTGTATATGGTATGAGACTACTAATGCCATCAAGTGTAAGGAATCAGACATCAGTAATGGAGTATTCAAATGCTTCTGGAAAGCAGGGTCCTAATCAATCAATGAAGTGCAATGGGAGTCAATGTAGAACTGACCCACACCTCCAGGTAGAAAACAAACAATTCTAGATAAAAGAGAGGGAAGGGGAGAATTTACATCCTATCCCAAAACCAGCATAAGAAAATTAGATATGTTAAATAAAGGACAATAAATTCTGCATATTCTTTAATTCAGACTCTGAATAAAAAGAAAACAGGTAATGAAGGGAAGCATGTTATTGATTTCCCACAAATTCAACAATCGCAGATGGGGTAAATGGGATAGTGTTTGCTATACTGAAAAATGAGATGACACTCCATATAGCAGGAAACTTCCAGAAATTAGAACACACAATGGGGAAGCTAGAAGCACTAGCGAGGATGCAATAGTAAGCTCTGTAACAGACACATGAGCCCTGGGAAGCTCAAAGTTCAGATGATGTCTATCGACCGTGTAGGTCGAGAAGTCCCTCTTCAAGAGAGAGGAAATATAAGCACCACTAGATTGCAGTAATTCTAAAATCACATTGACTCTTTAGTAAGAAAAGTGGGAGTATACCCCAAGACAGGCTCTAGGTAACATAAGAGTATAAAGTCCTAGGGTGAGAAAAGCTTATATTATTCACGATTACGTACAACAGAGTAGCAAAATCCAAAAAATAGGAAAAATACCAGGATCATATATCTGAATACAAAGGTTCAGAGTAAAAGCTACAGGAGAACCTGAGCATTCAAACTGAAGAGTACATTTTCAATGGAACTTAGGGAAAAAAAACAACAACCCGCTGGTAAAAGTTGGGGTAAGGGTCTGAACAGAAGGTTTATAGCTACAAAATCAGTGATCCTCATGAGATAAAGATTTTGATTGTGCACAAGGTAATGTGGCTACAAGCAGGCCCTGGGATCTTCAGTCCAGGAGGTTATGGATACAGCCGAGGCTAAGTCTATTGAGGATAAGCCTATCTGGATAGCTGCTGTGCAGGGACAAGCTTAATAAAGTCTTGATTGATGAGAACACATTCATGGAATACTGGGAATGTTAATAGGAGAGAAAAAAAATAGTAAAGATATAGATAGAGTTTTCCCTCCGCAGAGCTAACGGGAAAGTATCCAACCTCCTAGAACTCAGGAAGACTGAGGCATGATGATTATAGAGGGGGTGGCCTTTAACTTTTTTTTCTGTTTGCCTGTGTCCACCTCCTGAGTCTACGATTTACTATATACCGGTTTCCTTCAATGGACAATGAAGAAAATAAGTTTTAGCTTAAAAGTGCAAGAAAATGGAGAATACCGTTAAATAAATAATTAGATAAAGTAACTTGAGATCTTTTAGACTATTTGATCAGAGTAATATAATAACAACTGTATTTTAAGCTCTATATATAGTAAATGAAACAGTGAGATGTTTGCTTGATATATGCAGCAATTCCTTACCACTGAGTTAAGAGGATAAGGGACTCCAATAAGTGCTGTCATGAGTGGAGCCACATCTGCCTAAAAAAACAAAGCACAGAACCCTGTATCAGAATGGAAGAATATATCCATGAAGTCAAAAGTGGTTTACATAAATATATATACAATTAGTATACTGTTACACACACTAATACTTAACTAAACTGCTGCAGTACAACCGTTTTTCTACCCAGTAAACATATTCACCAAAAACAAAGTATCTAATTTTTTAGCTGGGCAATAATTACACATGACAGATAGTCAGCCAGCAGTATCACTGCTAATATTGTCTAAAGCTAAATTAGGGAGAAAATTTAAATAACATGCAAAATGATCATACTTTGGGAGGGAATATTATCATAAACCAATAAAGTGTCATAAACCAAACTGATGATGGTTCTCTTTAAAGAACACTTTGAGCTGAATCCGAAACTACAAATATTTAAAAAGCTATATACTATAATCATTTGCAAGCATGTTGCACTGGTTTGACAAATATTGCTAATTAAATAAAGCACAAGTTGTACTACCTTTAAAATGGCTTTGGTATAGTAAAGTGAATCTCCGCTATTGCCCATGCAAGGCAAAGCAACATGATTCCCTTTAAAGTTGGCACCACAGCTGCATATACTCACTTTATCTTTGCTTCTCCGTTCACCTAGGTAAGCAAATGTAACATACCCAACACTCCAGGTATGGAGGCTCTGTTTAGCATCACATAGGGGTGAAAAGGGACAGGCCTCATTCCTTTGTGAGCTTCAAGTCAGGACACTTAGCTTAGGGCTTCTGGTCCTCACTACCTAGGTGTATGAACCTTCAGGTTCACTTTAAAGCTTTAACAAGCAGTTGCATTCATCATCAGGTAAATTGTGCAGCATTAAGTGTCTGAAGTTTATAAATAAATATGTTACATAATAAAAATGCTGTATGCTTTTTCTTATTCAATAAAACCTAGAATAGAATAGATAAAGATAGATATAGAGATAAAGCAAGGAAAATAAGTAAAAAAAATCTTTTGTGTTTTAATAGAAAGCAGCGCATATTAATTTCAAACTGGACCACAATCACACAAACACTGAAAGAAAATTAGGTAAGGAGCAGAGCCTTGAACAAAAAGGAGAAAACAAAAAAACAATTTATTACAGCTCTACACAGGAAAAAATAAATCTATCCTCTAAAACAAAGGGAGCTAAAATATGAACATGAAGACTCTATCACAGTACACAGCGGATCCAACCCCATCTTCTAATCACTGAGCAGTGCTCTCTTGCTACACCTAGTCTATTAAAGGATAAATTGAACAGCAAAAAAGATGTCTCCGAAGGTGGTAAGTACTAATAAGGTGTCAAGGTCTGCCATCTAAAGAGACATAGCGGAAGATTAGCTACAGTATCGGTGCAGAGGTTCATTCATAGAGGTGAAAATATTTATCTATTATAATTATTTATTGACTTATAAAAGGAGCATCCCTGATAATAACATACACAAAACAAGGAGTTAAAACTCAGAACGCCTGTTTGTATTTTGTTTTCATAATACTATTTAATGATATCTACGTTACAGACATTTGTGTATGGGAACATTTATATGGGACACATCATACAGTCAGAAAATTTGATGTCAACTGCAAGGCTTGATGCTAGAAAAGCACATTCAGATCAGTATAGTAATAATAAATATAATAATAAAAAATCAGAACAAAGAGGTTAGTAAACAAAGCTAAAGTGTACATACTACCATAGTCGTCTGCCTGTGTTACTCACTTACACAGTGCCTTCCCTGCAAGCACATAGCTTTGTGGCTGCCCATTTCCCTACAAGCTGTATAAATAAATACCTTTATAGTACATATGATGAAAGGGAAAATGCATATGCGTCTACATATACATACAGAAGATATTCATACAACGGACAGTCTGTCACTTGGCCAGAAATGTCCCCACTTTAAGTCACGGCCTTTGCAATATTACCATCGTCCTAAGCCCAATTATCTATAAGCAAAGGTCCTCTAATTAAAAGGAGGAAGTGACAGTTACAATGGTTGATATATTTGGAACGAAATTAAACTGCCACATTATCCTTTAATCATTCTGCACAATTCCATATTTTGGGAGAGGCGATTCATACTCCTTTAAAACAAAGAGAAATAGATGTAGTCATGTTCTAAAAGAAGAAATAAATCAGCTGTACCTGGTTGACATCAATTCTTTGAAATCTTTCCAAATTCCATTCTGGAAAGAAAAGACCATACATTACGTTAAACAGAAGATTAAGAAACAAGCCAAGAGTGGTGCACATGGATAGGTAACAAACTAGTTTTGTAGCCTGTATAAAAGTACTGTACTTAAGGATAGTGTCATGCCAGGCAGTCAAGGGAGTTTATAATGGCATCCTAATACTCCCTCAGACCACAGAATAAAGTGACACTAAACTCGAAGTTAAATCTTAAAAATGCATTCATATACCCTAACTATTAACATAAATGTATCTTATTTGTACATCACTCAGCGTAGATCCTCAAATCATCTCTGAATTGGTGCGGACACTGTACTTCCTTCTGGAGGGTGGTATTGCGTGGTAAACCCAACTAAGGAACATTTGTTTTGGCATTAATCTGCACAGAATAAACGTTCATTGATATTTGCAGGGAAGGGCTGTATTATGTTTATGGTTATCTGTGCCTATAAAACATGTTGGGGAGTATATATATTAGGGATACACTGATACCGGTATTTTGGAATCGAATACGAATACCGATATATTTTGGGAGGCGGCTTTCTGGCCAATCAGGAAGCTGGGGGGGGCGAGTAATGACTCACTTACCTGCTTTCCGATTGTCCAGCTTCCCAACCAATCAGGAAGCTGGGCGGTGAGTCATTACATGCCTCCCGGCTTCGTGATTGTCTGGGAAGCGGGCTCCATGTTCCAGGGAGCATGGAGCCGGCTTCCCGGCCAATTAGGAAGCCAGGGGGCGTGTAATGATTTTCCCCCCCCCCCCGGCTTCCAGATACCGGAAGTTTTGTTATCAAGATTAGTATCGAGAGCATTTGGGCGAGTATGAGTACTCGCCCAAATACTAGGTATCGTCATCGGGGCATCCCTTATTTTAAGGACCTTCACTGTAACTTCCTTAACGTTTAATCAGATATAGAAATATAAACAATAATAATTGTTGAATGAATGTATTTATAAGTTTAACTTTAAACAAAGTTGCTCATCAAGCATTTTCATGTTAAAACTCAGATTTTTCTTACGCAGCAAAGTTGACATGGCAAAGCATATATAGTTCACACTTTAAACACTCATGAAAATGTACTGGCCTTCAGTTTCTATTAGGAGGCTGTAATAAATGGACTAAATAAGTCAAGTATATTTGGGAAAGTCAGTATGGTACAAAAAAGTGGTAAAAAAATGCCATTAAGATATTTCATTGAAACATTTAATGAAGACTTAGCACTGCCGGTTCCTAGCCTGATAATGACATATGGGGCGTAGTGTATTATCTCAAGTGCTTTAAAACCAGCAATTAAAAATAGCATATTTTCCTTAACTGAAGGTATCACTAGAAATTTCCAAAATGTAAATGTCACTTGTGCCTTTCCATTTGCATTCCTCCTCCAGCTAGAATCAGAGCGCAGAGAAAAGGGCAGACAGAAATAATATAAAATTTATGTCTTGGCTTAACCATCCGCACAAGTTCTTAGTTTAGCCTTCATAGCACAAAAGTGCACTGAAAAGTTTTATTGTCGAACTTTAATGAATAACAGGGCTTATATATATAAAAAGTAAGACAGAGAGAAGTGGATATATAGCCCAAAGGATCTAATCAGACATGTTATTTTTCTAATGTAGGTTAAAAGTTAATCTTGATTGATTGCTACGGTTCCTTGTCTTTGGCCTAATTCAACAAACCAACACAGCTATTTTTAGGTCCTGCCAAGAACAGACACTAAGTACCAGCAATTGCCCTTGTTAGCTCTGAGAAGCATACGTTGAGCACCTCTTTGAAATTTGTTTCAGTTTGTTATATAATGCCTGGTTTCAGGCAGCCCAGGCAAATGAAACCCCTGGCCCAACCAAAGTGACCTTTTTGACCATCAATGCACTGTCCTGGAAAGCGGATAGGCTAGGGGCAAAGACTTAGCCTTAAAGTCAGGGCCCTAACAACAAAGAGGTACCTGGGGGGATTTTCTGGCTAAGCTATTTCTGGGCATCTTGCAGGCAGCATGCAGTGCCTAGTCCTAGACAGGTCTTTTACAAGTTTAAAATAGCGGCCATGGTTCACTTTGAAATATTTTTTTTTCTTTTGTCATAGATTATCCCACTGAAGCTTCATAGTAGCTCTCAATTGGCCCAAATATTTGGATCTGCTGCTTACATATCATTTTATGGTGTGACACTGCTCCAGCCTTGGAATTAATATATTTTTTGTTATAGGTTGCAAGAACCGCTTTATTATTTTACTGTTCTGTCTTACCATATCACAGTAGTCTAAAACTCGAATTATGGTTTACATGATTCCTTGATTTTTTTATGTGCCGTCACAATAATTGTATAAAAATATGACACAATGCATAGTTATAGTTAATATTCATATTAATGTGAAATGAGAATCACATAGTTAATTTTCCTTAAGCCATGTAATATAGCAGTTGTATGGCTGGTTATTATACTGCCATCCTGTGGGCATTTTGGTTATATGTTTTTCAGCATTCCCTCCCTTTGTGTTATGTACCACCCTTCTTCTCCAACTGGTCCTTTTCTGGTGTCATGGCTGCCTATACATGGGCCACATGTGTATGCTAGCTTGGAAACATTATCATCCTTAACCTTCAAATACCATCTTAAGCAAACAACACAAAAGCGCCAAAAACGGATCATAAAACTGAGGCGTGCGTATGCGGGATTGCTAGGGGTGCTGCCCTAAAGAAGGGGGCGTGACCCCGGAAACGCGTTAACGTTGCCACTCCATATTGGCACACAGGCTGATTGAAGTTTTTAAACTGATGTATCCTTGAACTACCCATTTATGCTTCTAATCGATCTACCATTGTGAGTACCTTTGCACTCTATTTTGCTATTTTTAAACAATAAAGAACCATCTGCACTAGGGTGGGCGCCATTCTCTTTCTTTTTGTCTTCAAATACCATCTGTTCATTCATCTACTGTATCCTGTTGTCTGCAGTAACCTGTTGCATGCAATAAAGCACTTTAGGGCTCAAAAGGTATTTGTTGAGTTCAGCTATCTGATAAAGACTGTCCGCAGTGATTATATCTGCTTATACAGGCCATGCAGAGAGGTCTCAGCAAGGGATAAATTGCTAATACAACAATCGGAGTCAGAATATGTTATGTTGTTTTTATTTCATGATATGAGAACTTACCTTTTGAGAATGTATCATGCTGCAGTTGATTTAGCCTTGGATAATGTACTCCGGCTCCCCAAACAACTAGTGGTGTCAGTGTCTCAGAAGGGTGACCTGCACCATGAGAACCTGGAGGTGGAAAGTGGTAATATATAATTCATTAGAGCATACATCAAGACTGGCTCTATTACATTTTTTAAAATGGTTTATAAATAAATCATACCCTCTGCATCATATTAGCAAACCCAAGTTAGTAAATTCTGGCACTTATAGTGCAAGGGTTGGTCTTCTGCCCAGATGATCCCAGCACAAGAGAGTTGAGTGTGCAAGCAATACATTCAGTTTCCATAAAGGAAGAGCTAGTATTACAAGGAGAATTAGTGTGAGGGTTACCTGGAGGGTTTCGGTCTAAGTAGGCCTTCCCTGTGAGATTCCAAGGTGTCTTTAAGCCAGTTAGAATATATGATTAATTCAGTGTCTGATAAAATTAAACCAGTGCCTGCCTTGATCCTCCTTGTAATTAGTCATGTCTGGAGCCAGGGGCCATCCATGCAAAATGCTAAACCATATCAAGAATCAGAGTCCCTATTAAAGTGACACTAAACTCAGGAGTTAAAGCTTCAAAAACACATTCAAGTATCCTAACTATTAACAAAAATGTATCTTATTTGTGTATCACTCAGCTGTAGATCCTTATATCATCTCTGAATTGGTGCTGACACTGTCCTTCCTTCTGGAGGGGGGCTACTTTTGTTCCCCATGGTTCCTGTGTGTGTTGTAAAGTAGTCAACTCTACTTTACAACCCGCGATGGACAACAATCTCAATGCAAATTGGTAAACTAAATGTGAGATTGCAGTCCATCACGGGAGTGAGCTTGGAGCGGTGGAGTTACACTATGAATTAGAAATTCATAGTGTAACTCCACATAAACAGTTTTTTATTAAAACAAAATAAGATTAAAAACACTCACAACCCAGTAATAAAGTCAGGCAGCTTCAGGATCTACCACTTCCGTGCTGGTTCGGGTCTATTACCTATTAAGGATATTAAAGCATGCTCCGACCCTCCCATGACCTTTTGGAAAGCACTACAGGTGCGCCATTTCCTCACCCAATTGGTTAGAAACCCACAGGAGCTGCCTCCCCTGACCCCTTTCGAGGAAATCTGTTTGCGAGAGGGTCCTACCCGCCATGGCCAGTCAGAAGCCTACAAGCTGCTGGGCGACCTGCCTGATCTACCCCTCCCGGTGTATATCTCTAAGTGGGAACGAGATTTGGGAATCACCTTTACTCCGCCCCAAGTTGATAGGATATTTCAGATGACACATAAGGCCTCTATATCCAGCAGTATCCAGGAAACGGGGCTCAAAATTCTCTCCAGATGGTACAGAGTCCCGACAACCTTGCATAGAATGTTCCCACAGTGCTCACCACTCTGCTGGCGTTGCCAGACACAAGAAGGTATGCTATTGCATGTGTTCTGGTCCTGCCCTCTGCTCAGTTTTCTGGGATAAGGTGGCAGAGGTCTGCAACACATTGACAGGGGTTGTTTTGGGGTCCGACCCAGCTGAATATCTCCTACACCTGGCACCCATGCCCTCACGCCGCTATAGGAGGTCCCTCTATGTGCACTTACTGAGTGCGGCGAAGGCGTGTATCCCCCTTTACTGGAAGCGCACGGCTGCACCACCAATCTCACTGTGGCTGGCGAAAGTCGGAGAGATCTACAGAATGGAGGATCTCCTGGCCTCAGCTAGCCACAGAGTGGCACAGTTTAAATCGCACCTGGTTTTACTGGATGGATTTCACTACTACCCAGGAATATGCTGCCCTGTTAGGGGAGATGTAAAGACTGACACGGGGGGCGGCTGACCTATCTGGGGTGGAGATGTGGACATGCGGGGCCTCATCCACTTGCAGTAAGCCCGCGGATAGGAGATACGCAGGCGAATGACAGGAACCGCGGTGATGCTATCAAGATCCGATGCAGACTCGTGAGACAACGTCTGTCTCCCCTTCTATACTACTTTTTCGTCTCTCTTTCTTCTTAGTCTTCTCTCTGCTTCTCCCCCCTCTCCCTACCTTTTCGCATCTATCTACCTCACTTACTCAATAATATGCATATGATATCTGTTTAACGCTAAAAGATCTGGTTTACCACAGACAAATTGTACAGGCTAATGTCTGAGCCAGATTATGGTTGTACTACAAGAGGTATACCCTATGATACATAGATGTTATAGTGGATTTCCTTGACCGATTTTCAAGTACACTATGTGCTAATGCTATTTTCTTACTGTTTTGTTACAAATTTCATAAAAACTATAAATAAAGAATTTATTTAAAAAAACACTCACAAAAATAGCCCTCAAATCACAGGATATATAGAGATATGTTTACATAAGACAATTGGAATATAAATCTAGTCCATCCCAGAGGAAGTCACATGATAAATGCATCGGAGGGCGGGTACACAGCGATATCATAACCTAGGAAGCGGTATCTATCTAGTAGCAGTTTGAAGACTGGTTTTGCATTTCACAATTGTCGGTGAATAATTTTTTAATTTAATTTCCCCCTGAGAAATTTGTGGAGTATGGTGGAAAGCAATGGAGAAGTGAATTACCAATCACACATCATCTGAGATATGAAAAACGGAATATCACGGTCCTAGGAGACTGGAGTTTGTGATTGAAGGAGAGCGGAGCATTTATTTATGATCGCTTTATGACCATTTTCTGTTATTGGTCCACCTCATCTCTTGAGTGTGTTTATGATTGGAGTGACGCACATAGTGGGGAGCAGTATTATTCACGATTAAAGGTGGAAGCAGTGAATTTTTTTTAACTAATTAAAAACCTATGACACTGGATGGTTATATGGACATTGTTTTGAAGGTTTAAAGGAACATGGACTAAATTTTTATTCTTCTGTTTTCTATACTTTTTATCATGTTTTAAGTTTGTTATTGGTGTATATCTTATTGCAGCACTGTGCACTTTGTATGAGGGGGTTGTGGGGATCACTAGTTGTATTATTTATAGTGCTGTGCATTTTTGATTTGTTATAAGAATACTTTATTGTATATCTTATTGCAGCGCAATGCACTTTATATGAGGGGGTTATGGGGATCACCAGTTGTATTATTTATAGTGCTGTGCATTTTGTATTTGTCAATACACAGATCTACTCACCCCAGTCTGTCATGCCGTGGTCAGAGGTGAAGACGAAAGCTGTTTTATCATCATATCCATAAAAGTCTTCAATCAGGGTTACCATTTCCTTGATTCCTTCATCAACTTTTTTCACATTTTCTTTGTACTCGCTATTTTGGGAATTGATTAGAAAGGTATTCATTGAAGTGAAAGCAGATAAGAAATTAAATAGACACTCGCATGCCAAAGTTTCCTTTTTCATATACACATTTGGAAATAAAGATGGATAGTAATTTTCTTTTTCATGGAGAGATGTTACAATATTTGAAGACGAGAATGACCTTCAAGTCATTTTTATCATGAACAGAAGTGTCACTGGGGTTGAAAAATATTTCTATGGAAAATCATGCTGGGTGTGATAATGTGGTTTACACCAATGTCTGGCATAGAGATAAGGGAGGTATGTTACAATATGGTGAGTCATTAGCGCCAGAATGTGTTGCTAAACAGCTCTATATGTTAGTTTATGGACATTTTATCTATTTTATCACTTGCACTTCTTTTGATATATCTATTGCTTTGTACAGCCTCACAGGTGATGACAGTGTTACACAAATAAATTATTATAATAGGGAGGAACTTGTGTCGTACAGAGCAATTGATTAGACCCAGCCTTTTTAATGTGTAAGCGCCAACGTAAAAAGAGAAATCTAAGGGGTGAAAGATGATTTCTTGATCATCTTAATTTCCTGAAGTACTTCTTGACACATAAAGGTCCACCGTTCAAATACTGCTAAACTGCCACAGCTCGGTGGATTTTGCTTCAATGTTTTATCATACTAAGTCAAATATTGCTAATGGCAGAATAAAAATAATTTCAAAATATGGAGTTTAATACTTGATAATTTAACTAAATCCTGAAAACATAAAAACCACTGGCATCAGAAAATATTAAAAGGAGAACTATGAGGTGAGTGCTTTTCACTCACCTCATAGTTCTAGCCGACCTGTGACAATGAGACTGTCACAGGTCGGATCAGTAGATCGGGAGGTGAGCGAACACATACCGGGTTCGTTCGCCTCTCGATCCTATCACGGCTCTCTGCCGTGACAGGGGGAGGGGCTGGATTCCCCTCTCCCCGCTCCGATCTGCCAGCGCTGACTGGCTGAACGGACGGGGCAGGGGGCGGGTACAGCTGACTCTGCCTCTAGATAGGCAGAGCCAGCTGTCACTCACGCAGCTGGGCGGATCCCATCAGAACTATGGGGGAAAACACTGACCCCATGGTTCTCCTTTAAGCAAACCGTACATTTTCATATCAAGTATCTATAAGATTCAGTATTAAATAAACCAGGCTCCAAACACTCAAGGGAGCAGGGGTCAAGGTCAGATCATGTATATTCTAATTCACTCTTAAAATATACACATATCAGTGAAGGCATAAAAGTAGAATAAAACATCTACATTTCATCTGTAGCTGCCATCATTTGCCTCTAATTGGCATGCTAAATAAGGATGTCAACACCAATATCAGTCAAAGAAAACCATTGATTAACTGTTCTTGTTTATGAGCGCAGAAGCTTGAGGCCAGTCACAAGCCTGAAAGACTGACAGACAGCCTAGCCTCATTAAACATCAGGCTCATAAAGACTGGCAGACATCTGCATTCTAGGATGAAATGCCAAATGTGTCATCATTACTGCCAATGAGAGATCTGGGAAAGCCACTTAATCACAAAATGATTAAATTACAAGTTTACATTAACATTAAGCAATACATATTTGGAAATATACTTTCAGAACTAAATGTAATAATAGTTTAATGTATAACCAAAAAAAAAGCTTAAAACTGGTACTTTAGTGGTATCCAAACATCTTGCTAAATCAAAAAATTATAAAAATTAATTGAGAGACAGGAATTCTAAAACATTCTGGTTATATGATGCTGCCTACACAAGTTTGGGACTCAGGCAAACAGAAAAAAAATGTCAAAGGCCAGCCCCCGTATAACTTGGCCTCTAACCATTGTGCTTCAGTTTTGTCATCAAGTAGTACAAAAGGCCAATACATACAGAAGGGCAAGACCTGCATTCCTCAATAGACATCAAGAAAAAGATTTTACACTAAGTACAAATATCTTATCTTCTTTATCATCCATTGAGGGAAACAGGGACTCAGGAATTCTAGAACAGATGGGACATCCCAAAGCAGTTCAACTCAGGGGTGAGCAACAGCCACTGATGGATTTAAGATAGTATCAAGAGTTCTCTAAAACAAACAGAAGAACCAATGCCAAGGGTAAGGAAACTGCTAAAGACCCAGGAGAGGTCACAGAGGATCAAGCTGCTGTTCAGACCAGGACAAGAATCACCACCAAAGGGAATGACTACCTTGAGGAGCAATAAGTCCACACCAGAAGAAGCTGCAAGCCAAGCAACCACCAACATGTGGAATACTATAACTACTCAAATAGGTAGAACAGATCAACAAGTATGGTCAACAAAAGGGAATAATAGAAGGCTTCCCAACTTTAAAACAGCTACCTAAGGGAAAATTGGACAACAGGTCCACAAGTTATGACCAATCAGTCTACGGATGACAAAAGGCCCAAGCCTTAAACTTTCAACCATGGGTATCAGGGAAGAAAGGCTCCAAGAAGAAGTAGGGATGTCTAGGACAGCCATCTGATTTCATAAAAGATAATCAACAGTACTATCTAGCATTACACCCCAAGGTGAATGGTCAAGCACCCAAGTAATTGGAGACAACCTCAATGAACCCACTTTAAGTCACACAGTCTGACAAACAAAGGGTAAAAGAGGGTGCAAGAAGTACCCTGTGCCAAAACAGACAAGAGTGGGAAGACAACCACCCCATACTGGTGCAACAACACCTCAAAAAATAGAACCAGCAGAGTGGTCAACAAGGTCTACCTGATCCAGTACATGGAAATACAAGTCTTCTGACCTGCCACGATTTAGCGAAGTTGTGGAACGAGGGGGAGGAAGCTAAGACTGATTACCTGATTAAGCGCAGCAGCAGGGAAGAAATTTAATGAGACTATCCCATGAAGGCTACAAATTAGCCACAGTAGGAGATACAGTAAAGCAAATCAAGGTGCACAAATCTTTTTCCCCAGAATAGAGACTACAGTATGGGGAGGCCCAGGAAGCAAAAAACAGTGCCTCTAAAGGGAAGCGTGTGGGTGACAGTACGTTCCTCAATGTCACCTCCTTCATCTCCTAGGTGAAGGTCTTAGAGTACCAAAGTGCTGTCCAACAAGGTTCAAGGTCAAGGAACCAACTCACAGGGGAATCCCACAAGCACTGACTGGGAACTGGAGTCCCACCATGGAGGGAAGGAACCTTTGCAGAGCCTAAAAGAGATTGAGGGACCATTACATCCAAACGGTACACCTTTACATTTTACCTTGCAGATCTCCTGTGCTCCGTCAGCAGCATACTGTGGATGCTTGAGGTACAATGTACAGCGCTTTGAACAGTCCTCTATAACTGCAGTAACTCCACTGAGAACCGTCTTGAGGTCGTTCACTTCCTGGTATAACTGCAACAGCAGCCACTGGACACTCCTGTCACAAAGCCAGCTGCTTGAAAGCTCAGGATAATGCGTTTCTGGGGCCACGCCTCCTTCCTCAGAGCCACCCAACACACTTGATCAGAGGTAGCCAACACAGTATACAAAGGACTGGAAAGCACCACATTACAGAGCCAAGTGGCCAAAGGTCACATACAAGGCCGTCCTTGCCATGTCCAGATGCCTACTCACTGTGTGAGTCTTCAGAGGCTGGCTCACACCAGAGGCTGTGCCTGGACCTAGAAAGTACTCTGCAACGAACAGAGTACACAGAGGTTTGCAAAGTGCTACAATGCAGAGCTCAGTGCCCAAAGGTCACATTCCAGGCTAGACCTGCAATCTTCCAGTCCAGCATAAGAAATGCCTGATAATCCCCATAATGTCTGTCCTATCAAAGGTACATAAGGATCCCCTCTGTCCGCCAGGCCAAACCATAGTCGCTAGTTTTGATTCGGTATTGTCACCTTTAGCAAGGTTTAAAGATAGAATTATGATAGTATTGATTAGGGACTGTGATTCATACCTGAAAGACAGTTTAGAGACACTTTTTGGAGAAGATTGAGGAGCCAAGATGTGTTCTAATGCTCCTCCATTTGCTAATGCCTTTATGGTATGGATAGAAAAAGAACCAATATACCTCTTCTATTGTTTCAGATTTTTCATTGCATTACATTGCAGATTTTTGAGTCATTTCATAGAATCTGTGTTTGCCGTTTGGTCCGGCGACAGATTATCTTTGAACCAATTCCATGGTGCTCTTAATTTGATGGTGGTAAATCTTCAGTTTAATAGGGTATGTAGCATAGAGGGGGTATCATTCTTCGAAACTATGATTGAGATACAGAATGGAACATTAATGAGCAATTTATATGCAAAATCAATGGATCCTAATATGTTGTTGCATTATCGCAGTTACCACCCAGTAAATGTGTTTGAATCAATTCCTACAACACAGTTTAAAAGAGTGACACGTATAGTTATCAAATGAAAATTAGGAATAGAGGAAACGAAGGGGAAGTTAGAATGGCGTTACCCAGATAGATAACTGTGAAAGGAAATTGATCATGTGGATGATACGACTGAAACTTTGAGGAATGGTAATGTAGACAGAGAACAAAGAAACACCATTTGGATCCGATTTAGATTTTTTGTCAGATAAAGTTTTTACTTCTATCAAAAGAAACTGGAAGATTCTGAGGTATAATTATCCACAGATCTCTGCATTTAAGTACAGTTCATTACAATAATTTAGGAGAAGGTGTACTATCTATAATTAGTGATGGGCTCGGGCGTGTTCACAAGCGCCTCGTGCCGAGCCCGCCGGGAAGCTGTCAGCACGAAGAACCAATCACAGGCACTGAGACATTTCCCGATCTCTGCAGCTGCGGACCGAGAACATGTCTCAGTGCCTGTGATTGGCCCTGCGCTTCCTGGTGGGCCCGGCACGAGGCGCTTTTGCGAACACGCCCGAGCCCATCACTATCTATAATGAGGTAGTGAAATCTGATGTTGTAGCTCCGGTATCCCCTATGGTAACCTTTTTGGGTCCTAGATGAACAGGCTGTTTTTCTTGCTTATCTTGTATTCAATGCACATCCATGATAAAAGGTGAAACACTTCAACACCCACACAGAAACATCTCGGTGCTTATTTAACCATTATTAATAGGGATGCACCGATACTTTTTGAGTACCAATGGCGATACTTGGCATTTTCACGAGAACTACCAGGGTTGCAGCGGTTGCAGCTGGGACCTGGCTCTGGTGCTCCACCACTGTCCTGAAATCATTAGTCGATATTGTTTTTGAAAAAGTGTCACATGACAATAAATAAAAAATGTATCAGTACTCGTACTTGTAAGTAATTGGGCAAGTATCAGTACTTGTACTCACAAAACTGGTATCGGTGCGTCCCTTTATTTATATTTATAAAAACAAAATCATACATTAAAACAGAGATGTACAAATCCCAGACGCTCCGTGTGCTCCTTACAAATGACAGCTGCCTTATAACTTTTGAATTTTTCTCTAGTCTAGTCTTGGAGCTCGAAAAGTATCGGTACCTGTACTTGGTATCGGTGCAACCCTAATTATTAATCATGCCAATGGTCATATGCCATTCAAATGAGTGTCTGGGTGGTCTCTCCTATATAGGAGAGATCACCCAGAAGTTAAAGAATCATATTGCCCGACAGAGATACTCCATAAGGAATAAACTGGTGGAGTTACTGCTGACGAGACATTTTGTGGAAAAAAAGACAGACACTCGGTCACAGCTATGGTTTGTGGCTATTGATTATACAGCTAAACCAAATCAGATTATAATTTTGAAAAATGGAAGGTCCAAATGATTAATGAACCGAATACTATTAAGACCCGATGGTCTATATGTGGATCTAGAACCACATTTGTTTCTATAAATTGGTTAATGGTAATCCTGTTTTCTGGCCCCATAGGTGTGAATCATTGATGGCGGAAATAAGGAAATTCGTCCATCAGTTGCTACTATGAAACCTATTTGAGAGTTATAAGGCTATTGTAAGGGTTAAAATTACATTAGGTCATATCAATTGAGAAAATATGTAATCTTATATGGCTTGATATAGATGGTGTGTAGGCCAAAACTGTTGCCACTTGAAGTTGAAGTGCTGCAGTCTCATTGCTTTGTTACCTGTTACCTACAGGTAACATATACACAAAATCCATAGTTACATAGTATTTGAGGTTGAAAAAAGACACAGGTCCATCAAGTTCAACCTTTGTGTGTGTGTGTGTGTGTGTGTGTGTTTGTTGTGCGTGCGTATAAGAGTCCCTGTGTGGTCTAGTATTTAAGAGTACCAGTACCCCTGTATGTTACGGTCTCTTAGGATGGTATCCAATTGATTTTTGAATAATTCAATATTCTATGCTGATACCACTACTTGTGGCAGAGAGTTCCAAAATGTAACTGCTCTAACTGAAAAGAAGCCTCTACGCCCTTTGTGGATAAATCTTTTCTCTACCAATTTTAGGTGGTGGCCTCTAGTCCTTGTTATGGAGTTTACAGTAAAAAGTTTAGTGCCGATGTTGCCATCACCACTAAACATTTTGTACAACAAAATCATGTCCCCTCTTATCTCCCCACTTTCAGTGAGAACAATTAATAACTTTGTCTCATAACTTTGATCCTCCAGCACCTTAATTATCTTTGTTGCTCTTCTTTAGACAGAATGCTAAATCCACCTGCTAAAGTTAGATCATAGCCTGAGGCACCTAATAGTAATGACAGCAGGTTGGGCCCTGCTAATGACTGGACTAATAATAAAATATTCAGGAGGCTCACATTTGTGGTATACATTATATATTATATTATACTGGCTTTGCCTACAGTATTTATAAGTGCTAGTACAGACAATGCGAATGGCCTTTGCCTAGGGCCCCATTCTGACCTAGTAATTCTCTTGATTATTTCTATTAGCTCAATCACACTACTAAAATTGCTAGTGAATATTTACTAGGAGTAGCCATCAGTTGCTAAACAGCTGGAACACATGGTCCCTTATTGTATAAACTACACATGTAGCACGTATAGCAATCAAACAAACATAAGCAGAGTATTGTAAGAACATGTTGGAGTAATGGCCACTACATGCTTCTTGTGTAGTATACACAACAGGAATCCATCTGTCACTGACCTCTACACTGAGCAATTGATTGCTTGTGATTTTCGTAGGGTGATTGACCTACTAAAATCACTGCAGTAGATTTAGCCTAAATTGAAGCTGCTCAGGCTGTAACAAAACAGATAAGATCTAAAAGCTGCACTTAAAAAAAAAAAAAAAAATAGAGGGAGAGAATTAGACATGAAGTTACAATTCATTTTCTACAGTTTAAACCAAAACATTCAGGGCTCCCAGGCATTCTTAATTATGCCTAAGACTGGGAAGCAGATATTGCAGCCTGATACCACCAATATCAGCTTACCTTGTGGGAAAATAATAAGAATCATACAAGGTTTTCCATCTCCCAACACCCTGATCATTTAGCCAGGAACTTATGCTGGTACCAATAGACTTGATATTTGCCATGGAAGCCTCTGTGCCCTGGGCACTTGAAGGGAACTGAAGGCCAGCCTCATCTCCACTGACTATGGACCCTGGCCTGAACTAAGGTTTTACATTGCCATTTGAGCTAATGCTGTATCTTGTCCCGGACCTAACATCCGAATTGCTCTATGGAACTCCCATACGGGCTTATTTAGCGTGGATCAGCGGGACTTGTTACCAAACTTATGGAACTCTCGGGTGGACATTTTGTTTGCCACGTTCTGCTGGCACCACTAAGGCTGTGCTGTTTCCCCCACACAATAGGCTCCCTGCAGATATAACTGCATCTTCCTCCTTAATGAGCCTGCTGACATGTCCACCTGGAATCCCTTTTTTTTATAACCTTTTTGATAAACCTTTTATCGTTAACCTTTGTGATAATCTCTTCATGGTTAACCCTTTTGATAATCCCTTTTTTTATCCTAACATTGGTTCTGTCTGATGTTTAGGGTAGTTCCAGTGCACAAAGATGGCGTATCCAGTCGGGGTACAGGCGTTGCTGTCAAAATATTGTTACGTGAGCTGATCCAAATCAGCTAGATCAAGAGAAAATCATCTATGATCAGCAGACAGCAAAAATTAGAAAACTAAAATCGGACTTTGTGTAGCCTGTACATACACTATACAGCATATTCACACACACACACACACACACACACACACACACACACACACACTAATCTGAGCACATTGTTAGGAGTTTAAAAAGGGTAGCTACAATGATAGGACTCCATGGCCTCATGAGTACTGCACCTCCTACAATTTCTCCTCCCAATAACATGCTAGGGTACACACCTGGAACCTGGTCTATGAGCATGTCCATTGGTATCTAGTCCAAGCAGATGAAGGAAAAACACTATTTTTTCTTCATATAGTTTATTTAATAGTGTTTGGTTGCTGCGGGCAGACCTGAAGAAATTCTAAAACACAAACAATTATAAAATATGGCATTAATACATAATTTTTTGCAGTTCATAAATAATGAACAGAATACCAATAAAATATAACAGCAATATTTTAGTATTAAAATTAAACAATATCAAAGTAACATAGAACATCCTTCAAAGACAAAAAAATATCATTAACAGCACTATATCCAGAACAATGATTAATTTCAGTACAGATGCCAGGGGAAGAAAATGCAGTCGAAATTAGACATATAATGAGAAATGAATGCAGCCTAAATAAAGGTTAAAGAAAAAAATCAACACATAATTTTCATAATTCATTACGGCATTCCTTTTGCAGGTTCATTTCTATCAGAGCATTCGCCTAGCAATCTAACCAACTGTACCAGTAGCTTCTTTTTTATGGAGGGATTTCATATGTTCTAAGCAATTATACATCTTCTGCATCGGTGTCTTCTGCATGTCTCTCAAACCTGACAAAAACCAACAGTAGTAATATATTCACTTTATCTGTCACTGACCTTCACATTGTCAAACACCCAAGTGTCCAGTTCGGTAGCATCTTCAGAGGCAAAGTCCTCACTTGCCGCTGAGTAACAATGTGTAAATACATGATCTCCACTGGCACCTGAAAATACATTTATTATAACAAGCCGCCAACCTAGATTTTTACAACATAACTGACAGTGTTCCAGAAAACTAGAAAACTTTAATATTCTGAGAAATGTAGGTTTTACAAGATATTTATTATGTTATTATATATATATATATATAATATAGGCAGACAGCAATGCACTGCAGTTAAAAACAGTGTGCCCGTCAGGAGAAACAACACCAGTTCTCCTTCAATAGGGCTACGACACAACATTGGGGCCGCATAGATAGCGAGCGAGATTGGGGCAAAACGACTTACGACAGACGGAAGAAGACAATCTCATCTAGGAATATTCGCCTACTCCGAATTCTCAGTTTCCCCATCGCTCATATGAAGGGGAAAGCCAAAGTAAATAACTGTGTCGGGCGCAGAGAGGACATGGTCCCCTAACCACACAATGCCGCAATGAAGTAATCTGTAGCCTCAATGCATATCAAAGACCTTTGGGATATGTAAGTTTATAGTGATATATAGTTTTAAAATGTTGCGTAACTTTACTCGATGTAACGTACCAAAACCCATGTATACACAACTGTAAGTGTTTTTGAATGAAAATAAACATGTTTTGGGAAAGGAAAAAAAAAACAGTGTGCCTTTTACTTAAAACAGCAGGTGCAAAACTGGCCATGGATATCAAAGCCTAATTCTAGCCACATAATTTTGGATAGAGTAGAGAAGAGCTACAAACATTTTTGCCACATTTTGTGTTTCTGTGGCTCCCATAAAATAAATTAGGGGAACGGTTGTCACTAGAACATCAAGGTACTGGCAGTTAAAAAAAAAAAAAAAACAATGTCAGAATGTCTAAGCACTATACTAAAAAAGTGTTTTTGTCTTTGTCCCTCTTGACAGGAAGTGAGAAGAAATCTCTCCAATGGTGCACAAAACACAATACAAAGTCTAATTCTTCCTGGTTTTGTCCAAAATAAATAAATAAAGTTTTGTCTGGATTTGGACATTAAAGAAAGTCACC